TAATTTTTCTTATAGATTGATGTTTTGCTGTTTTTATTATACATTATTGAATAAATTAGGTTTTTCTGTGCCAGTTATTTGAAATCATCTCCTGTGCTTGCCAGAGAGGTGGGGGTTGTGGAGGGAAAAGTAGAAATTATTGGCATAGTGTTTTGGGCTAGCTGGTTTTTCACAGTGCTCTGTTCTTATCTCCTCTTCTTTCTTTGCTGTTCTTGTTCTAGCTCAGCCACTTTGGGCAGTTCTTACATGCACATTGAATCGAGGAATTATACCACTCTCCTTTTTTTAGCTGAAGTTTTTATCGAGAGAATTGTAGATTCATATGCAGTTGTAAGAAATAATGCAGAGAGATCCCCCATACACTTTACCCAGTTTCCCCCATTGGTAACGCTTTGCAAAACTATAGTATGTAACACAACCAGGATATTGACATTGATACAATACGCCCATCACCTTAGATCTTCCTCAGTTTTACCCTAGCTCATTTGTGTGTGTATGTTTTTAGTTTTACACTTTATCCCATGTAGATTGTGTATGCACTACCTTAGACAAGACGCTGAGCAGTTCCACCACCACAAGGATCCGTTCTGTTTGCCCTTTCATAACCACGCCCACTTCCCTTCCTGATCTTGGCAAGCAACCACTAATCTGTTCTCCATTTCTAAAATTGTGTCATTAAAAAAATGTTATATAAATGGAATCATACAGGATGTAACCTTTTGAGATAGATTAGCTTTTTTCACTCAGAATAATTCCCTGGAGATTCATACAAGTTGCTGTATGTATCAGTAGTTCCTCTTTTTCTGTTGCTGAGTAGTATAACATGGTGTGTCTGTCTGTACCACAGTTTGTTTAACCCATTCATTTGTTGAAGGGTCTGGGCTGTTTTCAGTTTTTGGCTATTATGAATAAAGCTGCTATGAACATTTGTTTATGTACAGGTTTTTGTGTGAATGTGTTTTTATTTCTCTGGGATGAATGCCTCAGAGTGTGGTTGCTGGGTTGTATGGTAATCATGTTTAGTTCTATAAAAAACTGCCAAACTATTTTCCAGAGTGATTGTCCATTTTACTTTCCTAACAGCAGTGTGTGAGGGATGCAGTTTCTCTGCATCCTCACTAGCATTTGGTATCAGCCCTGGTTTTTATTTTAGCCATTCTGTTGCATTTGTAGTGATAGTTCATTGTGGTTTTCATTTGCTTTTTCCTGGTGGCTAATGATGTTAAATGTCTTTTCATATGCTTATCTGCCATCTGTATATCCTCTTTGGTGAAATGTCTGTGTCTTTTACCCATATTCTAATTGGCTTGTGTTTTCATTATTGAGTTTTGGATGTTCTTTATATATTTGAGATACTACTCCTTTGTTGGGTATGTGGTTTGCAAATATTTCCTCCCAGTCCGTAGCTTTTCTTTTCATCCTCTTCATGTGGACTTTCACAAAAGAGCAAAAGTATTTAATTTTGATGAGATACAATTTATAAATTTTTCTTTCTGTGGATTGTTTTTGGTGTCAAGTCTAAGCACCTAGCCCTAGATCCCAAAGATTTTCTCCTGTATATTTTTTTCTAAAAGTTTTGTAGTTTTATGTTTTATATTGAAGTATGATCCATTTGAGTTAATTCTACCATAAGGTGTGAAATTTAGGTCAAGGTTTTTCTTGTCTATGGATGTCCAATTGCACCAGTAGCATTTATTGAAAAGGCTGTATTTCCTCCTCTGAATTACTTTTGTAACTTTGTCTAAAATTGGTTGGCATATTTGTATGAGTCTGTTTCTGGGTTCCCTGTGCTGTTTCATTGATCTTTACACCTCTCCTCCACTAATGCCATACTGTCTTCATAGTGTTGTCTATTTGTTGAACACTTAGTGTGTGCTCTATTCTGCAGACACTGTTCTAGAGGTCTGTCAGCAGAACAAAGATTCCTGCCCTGTGTGCATCTTCCCTTCTTGTGGGACAAGAAGGATGATGAGCAAACAAAGATTATAAGTTTGAAGGTTAAAGTGACACCAAAAAAAGTAGAACAGGGGAGTGGAAGCTGGGAGAGGTAGATTGCAATAAATAGTGCGAGGAAGCTTCACTGAAGTATTTGAGAAGAGACTTGAAGAGGCTGAGGGAGTGAGCCAAGCAGATATCTGAAACAAGAATATTCTAGGGAGAGTGAACAGCCCACGCCTGCTGGGTTTGAGAACAGCAAGGAGGCCTGCATAGCTGGAGCATAGTGAAGTCTAGGGATAGAAAAGGAGCAGTGTAGGTCAGAGAAGAATGGAGATTGGATCATCATGGGGCCTCACATCAGTTATCTTGATACAGCAACAAGGAAAGCTCAGCCTGTATCATTAACCAGAGACTTGTAAACTAAATGAGTCTTGGTTTAAGCTGTTGAGTTTTGGGGTCATTGGTTATACACTCTTACTATTGTTTTTTTCATGTACTTTTTTTTTTTTTTTTTTTGGTGAGGAAGATTGGCCCTGAGTTAACATCTGTTGCCAATCCTCCTCTTTTTTTCCTCCACGAAGCCCCAGTACACAGTTGTATATTCTAGTTGTAAGTCCTTCTGTTTCTTCTATGTGGGATGCCACCACAGCATGGCTTGATGAGCAGTGTGTAGACCCATACCCAGGATCTGAGCCAGTGAACCCGAGGCTGCTGATGTGGAATGCAGGCGTACTTAACCACTTGGCCATGGGGTCAGCCCTCGTTATTACTATTCTTGTGTGAGAATAAAACTACACAGCCAGATTATTCTTTTTTTTCCCCCAAATAACATATGGTAAACTTAACTTTCTTTTAAGGTACAGAGTTCTGTGAGTTTTAGTGTATGTATAGATCCACATAATGCCAGCACAATTATAGAACACTTCTGTCACCCCCCAAAATTTTCTCACTGCTGCCCCTTCTGTAGTCAACCCCTAACCCCACCCCTACTTTCTGACAACCACACTTTTCTGTCCTAGTAGTTTTGCCTTTGCAATAATTGCATATTAAGGGAATCATACAATTTATAGCCATTTGAGGCTAGCTCCTTTCACTCAGCCTAATGCCTTTGAGATTCATCATGTTGTTGCATGTATTAGTAATTGGTACCTTTTTACTCCTGAGTAGATTCCCCCATATGGTTGTACTACAGTTTATCTATTCTGTTGAAGGACATGTGCATTGTTTCTTCTTTGGGGAATGATGAATATAGCCAGTATAAACGTCCACATACAGGTTTTTGTGTAAAGATGAATCTTCATTTCTCTAGGTTAAGTATTTGGGAATAGAGTTGCTATGTCATATGCAATGCATATGTTTAACTTTATAAGTCATTGAACTGTGTTCCAGAGTGGCTGTAGCGTTTGCATTCCCACCAGCAATGTCAGAGAATTCCAGTTGCTCCACATCCTTATCAGAACTTGTATTATCAGGATTTTTTTGTTTTTCAGCCATTCTCATTGATGTTTATTGGCATCTCATTGTGGTTTTAATTTGCATTTCCCTGAGGGCTAATACGATATCTAACATTTTTTATGTGCTCATTTACCATCTATCTTCTTTGGTGAAGTGCCTGTTCAAATCTTTTGCCCATTTTTTAAAAAACAGTTGTTAATGTTGAGTTTTAAGAGTTCTTTGTATATTCTAGATTAAAGTCCTTTGTCTAATATGTGATTTGCGAATATTTCCTCCCAGTCTCTTGCTTGACTTTCTCTTAACTGTGTCTTTGATGGAGCAAATGCTTTAACTCTGATGGAGTCCAGTTTATCAGGGTCGTCTTTTACGGGTAGCACTTTCAGAATCATGTGAACACTCTCTGCCTAATGAAAGGTCACAAAAATTTATCCTACTTTTTCTTTTAAAAGCTTTATAGTTTTACATTTTACATTTAGATATATGATCCATCTTGAGTTTATTTTTGTATAAGGTGGGAGGTATAGGTTGTGACTAATTTTTTTGCATGTGGATGTCTTGTTCTAACACCGTTTGTTGAGAAGCCTATCCTTTCTCCATTGAATTGCCTTTTCAGCTTTGTCAAAAATCAGTTCGCTCTGTGTCTGTGGGTATATTTCTGGATTCTCTGTTACGCTGATTTGTCTGTCCTTTTGATTATATCACACTCTCTAGATTACTGTATCTTTATAGTAAATCTTAAAATCAAGTATCATGAGTCCTCCAACTTTATTCTTCCTTTTTAAAATTGTTTTGGCTTCTCTAGTTCTTTTGCCTTTCCATATACATTTTAGAGTCTGCGTGTCTATATCTGTGTATCTGCAAAAACTCCTGTTGGAATTTTGATTTGAATTACCTTAAACCTAGGTGATTTCAGGAAAAGTTGACATCTTAACTATGTCGAGTCTTCCAATCCATTAACCTGGTAGGTCTTCTTTTATTCTTTCATCAGTGTTTTGCACTGTTTAGCATACCGATCCTGCATGCATTTTGTTAGATTTAAATGCAAATATTTAACTTTTTGGAGCTATTATAAGTGGTATAACTTACGTTTCCAATTGTTGTTAGTATATAGATATTTAATTGGTGTTTGTATGTTGACCTTATACCCTGCTACCTTGATAAATTTACTTAATAGTTTTAGGGTACAGCCAGATTATTTTTAAGAAATTATAAACTGGGAATAGTTTTATAAGTTTATTTTTGCTGTTTTATATGAAATGTCAACTCTTAAATCTTGAATGAGGTAAAATTTTCTTTTCCTCTCTTTTCCTTTAGCAGTATACATACTTAACTAGCTTTGCTAGTAGTTAAATGTTTGTATGGCCTGCTAATGGAGGCATCAACCAAAAAAATCTTATTTCAGAGAGGGAGTCTAGTTCTTCCCTCTTTTTGTAATTAAATAATAGTAATACTGGTTATTTTATGAAAAGTTTTATTTCTAACGATAAAATCATGCATTTTAACAGAAGAGTACAGTCAAGAGGGTTAATTTTGTAACTGTTTCTCAGATGGCATACTTTTTAGTTTTGAACCATTGTTCTATTTCTTCTTTTGCTCTTTCTCCTCAGGTATTGGGAGAGCTGCTGCTACATCTTTAGGAAATTTAACTAACCATGGTTCTGAAGACCTGCCCCTTCCTCCTGGCTGGTCTGTGGACTGGACAATGAGAGGGAGAAAATATTACATAGATCACAACACAAATACAACTCACTGGAGCCATCCTCTTGAGCGAGAAGGACTCCCTCCAGGATGGGAGCGAGTTGAGTCGTCAGAATTCGGAACCTATTATGTGGACCACACGAATAAGAAGGCTCAATACAGGCATCCCTGTGCTCCCAGGTAGAGTACCAGCTTCATTTTCAGCTTCTTGTTTTGAGATTGTCTAATGCTAGATTTAGAACTCATGTTTTCATCAAAGAGAAAGGCATCCTGAAGTTGAATATTTGAAAACTTTATTCAGAGTTTATAACATTTTTCTCTGGACGTATATTTAGTAATGAATGACTTGAATAAATAAAGAAAAACTTTTCTCTTTAAACAAACCTCAAAAACAGGATCAGTATTCTTATGATCAGATTCTGCTTTAATAAGCCAGAATGTTTTTGTTGCAGATACCCAGAATTTGAAATAAATAAATAAAACATGTGTCTCTTTACATTTAAATTCCCATAAATAATACAGACTTAGCTTTTAATGTGTCAAAATACGCTTTTGAATTATAACATCTTGCTGTTTTATTTAATTTCAGACGTTCTGTGTCTTCTTTCTTATGTTTGCCAGGCAAGAAGCAAAAATTGGAACTGCACAAAACATCTAGATCTGTTTAATAAATGTAGCCCGTGATCCTTTGGGCTGTTTTGATTGATGCTGGGTTTATTAGTAGATCTCGTTTATGGTCAGACTTGTAGCCCTGGGAATACAGTAGCCAGTTGTCACTGTTGAAATGTGATTAATCCAAGTCGAGGTGTGCTGTAAATGTGAAATAGATGCTGGATTTCAAAGTACACAGCAAACTAGTATTAGTTTACTAATGAGGTTGCACTATTTCCAGTTAACTCCATTTGACCTTTCAGGATTAAAAATGGGTAGAATACCATTGGCATGTTGATAGATGTTGTTTCGTACCCTCAAGCATAATACAGATCTTTGGTTATAGCAGAGTTTCGCATTTTTTTAGAACCATTAAAATCATTATGAAAATACATTTTAATATTATTAACTAGAAAACTAAGCTTTATCATTATTGTGTGGTTTTAATCATTTACATATTTGGATTTATTAATTCAACTTTGAAAAGCAGTTTTTCCCAGTGATTCCATTTAGTAGCACTTAGTTTGTATGGAACAACTGAGGTTGTGATCCCTTCAGAAGAACCAGAGCAACCCTGATAGCTGTGTCGGGCCCTGGCCCCTTCTCCTGCTCTCTGTACCATCTCAGGCAAGCTGCTGGCCTCTGTTGGCAGGCCTGTGACATGGAGGGTAATTCGGAGCCCCCCTCCCACCTGATCTTGATCCCCACCCAAGGGCAGGGGTGAGTACCGCTGATTCCTGCTGTGTCCCCAGCACCCAGCACAGAGACGGGCATGTAGTGGGAGCCCAGCCAATGTTTGTTGAATGAATAGGATGATGGGGGAGAAAAGAACCAAACGTGGTTACAATTTGCTGTCACCAGGTGGCAGAGGACTTTGTGGTCCAGACAACCAGATTGAGAGTGTATTGAGCTTGCTTTTTTTGTCCATCATCATTAACTTTACATTATTACAGAATTTTATAGTTTACGAAGCATTTTCACAATTAGTTAATTTGCTTCTCTCAGCGACACTGTGGACATTAAACAGGAGAGACTAAACACCTGCCTTAAGCTCACATAGGTGGTATTAAAACTGTTTGGTTGTCTGTATTATGCGACTCCTTATGCAGAACTCTGGACTTACACAGTTGGCCCTCTGTGTCCTCGCGTTCAATCAGCCATGAATCGAAAGGGCTACAATGGTTGCATCTGTACTGAACATGTTCAGACTTTTTTTTCTTGTCATTGCCCCCTAAACAATACAGTATAACAACTACTTACATATCATTTACATTGTATTAGGTATTATAAGTAACCTAGAGATGGTTTAAAGTATCCGGGAGGATGTGCATAGGTTCTATGCAAATACCGTGCCATTTTATATAAGGGACTCGAGCATCCACAGATTTTGGTATCTGTGGGGTCCTGGAACCAAGTGCCTGCGGACACTGAGGGACAACTGTATTAGCTCATTTAATCCTGAGAACGGTCATCTTTGTTAGGAATTTATTCCAGTTTTACAAACTTAGAGAAGTGAATTTTTTTTGCCTACGTTCATACCACTCGTAAGTGGCCAGACTGAGGTTAAACCCCCCAGGCATGTGACTTCAAAGCCTTAGTTCTTCCCCACCTCTCGAGGTGCTATCAGGAATATTTCACCTTGCATCTACTTAGGAAAGAAGAGTTGAAGATAAAATTCAGTGCCATTTGCCCATTGATCTTTAAATTGTTAATCATAGTCTAAGTTAACATTTATTTTAATCCCAGTGTAGTATTGCAATGACCTTGTCTAATACACATATCTTTACATTTGGAGGCAGCCCTTCCAGTTTTGTCTCCAAATCTAGAAGGTACCATTTTGGCCTCCCAGAATTCAGTCTTTAACCTTCAGGGGGTTTAATTCCTTCCTTAGCATTTTCCCATATAACAGCCCTCTCCCCCCCAACATATAGGCTGTTAGAACATATTAAAAGCATGTTTTTTTTTAAAGTCTCTTATTTAAAATAGGTTCTAATCAACTCTGATTCCCATATGCTCTCCTAAGGTGGTAAAAGCAGAAAGGAAATAGTACAGTTAATGTGGATTATTCAAGCACAGCACTCCCTCCCACTGTACCCCACATTCTGAACCCCTTTTCAGCCTTAAGGGGGAAGAAACATCCATTCTCATTTTGAGAGAAGCTGTTGACCTTTCCAAAACAAATTTACAGCTAATTACTAGTTAGTACTGAAATTTATGATTCCAGTTTTAAGCCTCTGTTAAAGATTATAATTTAGCTCCATCTTTTTTATAGCCTCCTCGAAGTTGTCCTTGAAAATAATAAATACCAGAGAGAAGTCTCTTAAAAATATGTAAAGGTTTACCTTAGGCTTAGGTCCATCACAACAGTAGTGAACTACTAGTTTCCAAGAAAAGGTGGATTGTATAGTATGGTCTAGTGTGGTATATAATCCATAGTGTGGTATATGATCCATAGTGTGGCGTATGATCCATAGTGTGGCGTATGATCCATAGTGTGGCGTATGATCCATAGTGTGGTATATAATCCATAGTGTGGTATATGATCCATAGTGTGGTGTATGATCCATAGCGTGGTGTATAATCTACAGTGTGCTATGTAATCTATAGTATGGCAGGAAAAAAAAAAGGCCAGACCTGTATGTTTTTTAGGTGGTAGAAGGAATTCAGTTTGGGCAAGAGGCACCTTGAAAAACACTTAAATGTTATTTGTTCTGTATAATTTCTTGTTTAGATTTAGGGCCTTCATCCTAACAAATGTCGATTCTTTCTTCTAGTGTACCTCGGTATGATCAGCCACCTCCTGTCACATACCAGCCTCAGCAAACTGAAAGAAACCAGTCCCTGCTGGTACCTGCAAATCCGTATCACACTGCAGAAATTCCTGACTGGCTTCAGGTTTATGCTCGAGCCCCTGTGAAGTAAGTGGACTTGTTGAGGGCTGAGTGGAGGGCCAAATGAGTCCGGGCTGTTTAGCCCACGCAGGACCATATTTTTTCTCTTAATAATATATGGCTTCTAAGTAATATTTTATTTGAAGAAAGAATATCGCAGCTTATAAAGTTTGAAAAGCATTGATTAGAAATATAAGGTCTGCAAGCATTTATTGAATCTTCACTTTGTGTGTGTGCAGATCTGTGCTACAGCAGGGATACAGTGGGAAGTGTACATCCTCACAGGGGAGAGCATCTTGTAAATGAGTGATGCAATGCCTCACGGTAAACATAAGGACCCAGGTGTGTCCTAGGTGCATGAGTGAAACAAAGCAGGACATGGGGTGAGGAAGTAACACATGTACTGGCTGCAGGTCCCAGGGTAAGATGATCTGAATTCACTGATGCTTTTTAGCTCTGTAACCCTGGGCGGGGTGCTTAACTTAGTTTGTCATCCATAAATTGGGGATAGTGATAGTACCTACTTTAAGGTAATTAAGAATTCAGTAAAATAATGCATCTGAAGTGTTTATCACAGTGCCTTGCACTCTGAGAGAGCTTAAGAAATGATTATTCTAATTATTAGGGGTAGAGATAGAGAATAGTTATTAAGATCACTCAGGAAGGAAACTGAGTGCGATTTCTGGCTCCATCTCCTATTCACTGAATGACCTCGGGCGAGTTACTAAACTTAGATCTCACCATTTTTCCTCTACTGAAACACGGGGGATAATAATCTGATCTACCTCACTCAGTGTGCTGAGGCTTAAAAGTGATCATGCATTTTAGAGCTCATGGCACAGTGGCTGCCTTGCACAAGCTCTTTAACGGTTTCTTAGTATTATCATGAGTGGAACATGGAAAGCTGCACTGAAGAGGAAAATCCATGGGCTGGTTTTTAAGGATTGCTATGAGTTTGCCAGGCTCATTGAGGGTATTATTGGGTGCCATAGTAAGCACTGTTCTTGGAATATAATCATAAGTAATTGAAATCTTTGCCTCAAAGAGCTTCTCTCTTCTGGGAAAAGAGAAGTAGGTACTCAGATCAATAACCCAACTTGATAAGGCTTTAGTAACAGTGGTATATACAAAGTGCTGTGATTTGAGGAAAGGGGGTGTTTGAAAGAAAATACTTAGTGATTATCCAGTGCTTCCTGCATACCTTACTGTGCTCAACTTTTAGGTATGTTATCTCATATAATCATCCCAAAACCCATTTTACAGGTGGAAAAAAAAACAGGCTTTATCTCTGCTAAGATCATACCGCTATTAAATTCCTGATACTTTGCTAGCCATTTTACATGTACTTTTAACAACTATATCAGGTAACATTCAGTTACTGTTTATTTCCCTTTTATATTTCAGAAACCAAAATTATGAGCATAAAAATAGCCCAAAGAAGAGTTTTAGAGAGTTTAGGATGATTAGACAATGAATTTGAAATAAAATAATTAAATCTTTGATATTCAAAAGGAATGTAAAACCTTTCATATATACTTTTTTTGTGAATTAGTAACTCTTTTCTGTAATTTTAAAGGATGATCATTGAAATAAAATTTCCAGGAGGTTAAGCCAACTCTGATCTAAATTTTTACCATCTTATTATGTATTTACCAGCCCTTTACGTGTGTGTGTGTGTGTGTGTGTGTACAGGTGCCTTTAGCCTAGAGATTTTAAAAATTATTTTTTCTTGCTTAGAGCCTTTTGTTCTTATCAGGCTTTTAATTTGAATAGTTGGTAGGTTACCTAAAGGATATTTCTCTTAATTATTTGACCATGATTCTGTTCATTTAAGCTAGTTTAACGTTCTCATAAAGTTATTGGTCATTTGCTGTGAATTATGTATTAAATTTTGGCCAACGTAAACATTCCCTTACTTCCCTCTGTTCTTTTCAGTCTGTAAATTCACAGCTGTTGATCTGTGGCCTGATGAAGAGAGACAAGATGATCTTTTAGGGTTATACTCTAAAAGCATCCATGTTGTGTTTTTTTTTTCCTCCTGAGCCAAATTTAAGCCCTGGCAATGTAATTTTTAAAAAGCTTTTAACTATAGACAATCTGCAGGGTATAGACAGTGCTTGTCAAAAGTTTGGTTTTAGTTTACTTGAAATTAGGTACACATTTGTTTATTTAGAAGTTTAGCATGGTTTGGTGTCTGGGCTAATGTACAGAAGGCTCCTTATCTGGTAATGTCTGTATGGTATAGGAACAGGATAAGAAATGACGGCAGATGGACTTTGCTTCCTTTTTTCCCTCTCTTCCTTCACTCTTGATACCACTTGACCTACTACTGTGTATAGCCTTAGTTCATATGCTGATCCTAAGTCATATATAATATGTATATGTATTTATATTTTCCCTAAGTCTGGAAGAATATGTGCCTAACTGTTAACCTTTGTTATTTCTGGGAGTTGATGAGATTGAAGAGGGTTATTCTTTCTACTCTGTTTCTACTCTAGTCATTGTTAGAAGGAAGTAACTAAAAAGCCTTCCTTTTGGGGGGAAAAGATAGTACTTAAATGGAATTCCTTGCTTCTTACAAAAAAGAAACAGACTCTTAAAGATTATAGTCCCTTTCAACTCTGGTTCTGTGAGCCAGCTATAAACCTTTAGGAAGCTAGCAACTTAGTTTTTTCAAATCCGTCAGAACTCTCCCAGATTGGGCAATACTGATAAAAGAGAGCAAGTGCTTCTTTACTGCTTAAAAACTTAAACAAGAGATCTAGAACCCCGTGGCTTTTTAGTTGATCCTAAATTTTTGTCTCTAAAGAGGATGGAAATGGTTAACATTGTTCTGTCAACAAAGGGTAAGCTGTTATCCATGAATTAATTTAATTTTTTATTTTTTGAGGAAGATTAGCCCTGAGCTAACATCTGCTGCCAATCCTCCTCTTTTTGCTGAGAAAGACTCGCCCTGAGCTAACATCCGTGCCCATCTTCCTCTACTTTGTATGTGGGACACCTACCACAGCATGGCTTGCCAAGTGGTGCCATTGATAAAGGAGAATCCCTTACTTATCTCATCAAAAAGGCCTTAGCCAAAAAACTAGCTTGTTTCTTCTTTTGTTTAGCAAACAATTGACGATCTTCTAACTTCCTAAAAATTTTAAATTTTATCTCTAGTAGTAACTTACCAAAATAATTTTGAATATACTTCCAGAACTTGACTTAGAAACAGATTATGTTGTAAGTTTTTATTTATTAATTTTAGTAAAGTTATGTTTCTAACTCTGCTCACAGAAGTCCCTATTGTATGAGATAACTGTAATCAAGCTGAACTATAGTAGGATAAAACTGTAAGATTTAATCTTTTCCAGGAAAAAGACTGTCAGGAACATATTTACTTTCCATTATTCCTTACACACACACCCCCCAGCACCAGTCCCCAACAGCATCGTGACACAGACTCTATTGGTATGGCTTAATGATCCTGCAGTGTCGCTACTGACCTAGCTCTGGGTGTCGGTGGAAAGGAAGAGTGGGCACACTTTTACAGGGTAGACACAGGGGACATAGCCTATATTATCATACTGGAGCTGGGAATAGCAGCAGTTTTGGCTCCCGCAGGCAGCATCCACTGGAGTGGGAACATGGCTTTTTATAGCATTGTTGCTGTTTGCACATATTATAAGTAGTGTCTGACTAGGATGCTGCCTTTTTCTATGAGCCAAAGATGCTGTACACATAGCTACTGGAGTGGTTTACAGCCTATTTTCTGAATGATTTACCTGTATAATTAGAGTATAATACATTTAAGCTTGGAGAAGCAGATTATTTGGTTAGTTAAGAAGGAAAGAATGGGAATTATATACTTTTCTTTAAAAACAAAGCAGGCATAGGGGCTGGCCCCGTGGCCGAGTGGTTGAGTTCACGCGCTCCGCTGCAGGCGGCCCAGTGTTTTGTCGGTTCGAACCCTAGGCGCGGACATGGCACTGCTCATCAAACCACGCTGAGGCAGCGTCCCACATGCCACAACTAGAAGGACCCACAACAAAGAATATACAACTATGTACTGGGGGGCTTTGGGAAGAAAAAGGAAAAAAATAAAATCTTAAAAAAAAAAAAAAAGCAGGCATATTGAGATGTATTACAGGCAGAACAGAAGTAACTATAGAAACCACAGGGCAAGAATTTGGAATGGAAATTGGCACATCACATACTTTTCTGATCTGTGCTCTTCCTTAGAAGGCTTTTTCTTCTTCTCAAAGGATTTTCTTTATTCATTCTGATTTTGTTGCTTCTCCCCATAATCCTCTTGTTCCTAAATACTGTGATAGGGGAGTCAGAAAATTGTCTGAAGCTTTTTTTCTTTTTTTAAACTTGAATGCCTATATAGAATATTTCATGTCTTAAAAACAAGTATATTTACCAGTTTATTTTTCTCCCCTTTTCCTTGCTAGAAAATGCAGGGATCATAACTGAACTTTAACTTTCTTATGGTTCAACTGGCATAAACGTAAGCATCTTGAGTCAGTAGACTATGCTATGATGCCCCTTAGCTATGGAATTTAGACTCTGAAGGTTAAGTTTTTTCGTTAGGAATTATGAATTTATTTCAAACAAATAAGTAAAATCTTAAGCTACATGAATGGCAGAGGTTCTACAAAACACTTTACAACTGTTTCTTCATGGAGGCTCCTTGAGTATTTCTTATAGTATCTCTCCAGTTTACGTTGGCAGGTAGTTGGAGTTGCCCACTAAAGAGAACAGAAAGCTTTCTACCAAGTATATCTGTTACTAAATTTGCAGCACTTATTAAGTAAATGAGTAAAATTGGGATGCAACAAAATATGTTTACCTTGTGGTTTTGCACGTCGTGCTCCTGGTATTCCTGGTCCACATACCCAAGTTGTACAGAAATGGATGTCACTGTGCCAAAGACAGTATGTGGCTCATACTGGCTGCTCAGTATTTGTTTATTGCTTCCTTTTAAAAAAAAACTTTTTGGGGGGCCAGCCTGCTGCTGTAGTAGTTAAGTTTGCATCCTCTGCTTTGACAGTCTGGGGTTCACCAGTTCGGATCGTGGGCACAGACCTAACCATGGTTCATCATTGCCATGCTGTGGAGGCATGCCACATACAAAATAGAGGAAGATTCGCACAGGTTTTAGCTCAGCAACAGTCTTCCTCAAGCAAAAAAAAAAACACGTTTTTAAAAAAATAGTAGATGTTCCTTTTGGAATAAGATGCTAAATGAATTACCAAATGAAGGACTATTGTGTAGGAAATGTTGTAGATGATTACTAAGAATACAATTACTAGAATTTATACTCGAAGCTTCCTTTCGGGTCTGCTCTGCAATTTGTCTTGAGAAGTATAACTTCTATGCTCTGTTCTACCTCAAGTTCTCTCTCGAGTCTTAGCAGGTATTAACATTCAAAACCATTACTCAGGAGTATCTTGGTCAGGGGTTCTCTGCTTTTCTGAACTTTTAGTCACTAAACAATCTTGCAATAGATATATAGCCTCTTTAGGTTTCAGTTTTTTCATCTGTAAAATGAGAAAATTGGATTAGAGTGCTGTCTTTGGGTCTCTTTCGATTCAAAGTATCAATTACTGCTTCAGTAGTTTCTTGCCTACTCCATCTCAGTATGTGATCTCCTGCCTGTGGCAGGACCAGGGGCTTTCTGCACTCTGGTCCTGTCACAGTCTGACAGGACTCCTTCCCCACATCGTGCAGCCTTGCACAGTCTACTTATTCTCTCATTTTGAAAAGAACTTATTCTTACCTTTCTGCTTGAGTTTTTCTGTTTTTCTTTTTTTTTAAATACTGTATATGCAACCTCAAGAAAACTCAGCCCATGAAGGATGGTTCCTCTTCATTCCTCTTTGTGTTCAGTCCCTTGTTTGCTGTGGTGAACAGCATTCCTCAAAAAGCTCTATCAACACTAATGACACAAAGGGCCTTGCCCATTTTTATACGTTGTTGTTGGCAGGCACAGTATGCTCTAAAGTTCCTGACAGGTAACTTTGGATGAACTTACGAATAGCATAGAATGTGGTTTGAAATCTGTGTTCATTGTTGTCTAGTGTTAGTATTAGAATAACTGATACTTAAGATTAGAAGAAATGGCTAGTTTTAAACTTAAATTGAAAGGAAATAATCTCAGCAGTTTTCTCCTCTCCCTAAAAAATAATATACCTAAATAGCAGTTAATAACTCAGTTTTTAATTAAAGCTTATGGTTTGTTTAGTTATAATAAAGTTGATGTTTATAAAAATAGACTAGTCTATTGCTATAAATACATATTTATGTATCTGTTGTGAACATATGTATGATTGTGTTTTAAAACAGGTATGACCACATTCTGAAGTGGGAACTCTTCCAGCTGGCTGACCTGGATACCTACCAGGGAATGCTCAAGTTGCTTTTTATGAAAGAACTGGAACAGATTGTTAAAATGTATGAAGCCTACAGACAGGCTCTTCTCACAGAGCTGGAAAACCGCAAGCAGAGACAGCAGTGGTATGCCCAGCAACATGGCAAGAATTTTTAAGTTAATTTCTTAAACATAAAATTTAAGTTTTATAAGGGCTTTAAAATATTTTCACAGATAAAAAACTGCAAACAAGTACTTTGGTTAATAAAGGCAGCTTACTTTTTGGAAATTATAAAATTCTAATTTTACATGTATTTTGTTATTAAAAATATTCTTTTATTGAGCAAAAAAAATGTCATTTTAAGAGTCAAGATGGCAAACACTTCTCAATACTGTATATTCGGAAACTGCTTTGGACATTCTCGATGGGGACAAATGCAGCAGGAAATGTCATCATAACAGACGCTAACTGGACAGTGATCACCTGGCAAATTCTCACAGACGCAGCACCTTCCTTTCACACACACACAGAGGGAACCTCTGCAGCGTTTAAATAAAAAAGTGTTCCTACTTTAGTGAGGGTACTGTCTGGAGTTGGAGGATTGAAATATTTCATGTGTAGTTCATGTGTAGTTCAAAACACTCAAGGGGACTTGGGACCTTTATTGTGGTAAATTTTTAGATGTAATGTATGGCGTTCCCCTCCCCACCAAATGTAAAGAAGCCCCTTAAAACCTGTTGAGAAAGTGTTTTTTTGTTCTGGAAGGAGGAAGGGCCTGTAGTCCTTCAGGAATAAACGGAGGCATAGGCCTTGGCCTGCGTGGGAGAGGTGTGTGCAGCAGGCTCTCCGTGTGGCAGCGCCACTCCCTGACGTTCTGCCGTGCGGCCTCAGACCATCGCTCTGATAAGGCAGTACAGTTCCCGACAGCAGAGCACGCTGCCGTCCTGACAGACTGCCTTGAGCTGCCAAAAATGACAATCAGGGATTCAATAAGAAATCTTGGTCATTAAATTGACTTTACATATCTTTTGTCTTCTAAGAGTTTGTCACAGAACTTTAAAACCCAGTATTTCCGTCCCCATTTTTTTGTCCTTTTGGTTTAATAGTTATTAAGACATTGTTCATAATTAGCACAGTACATTTGTAGACAAATTTATGGCACTTCTAGCCTATAAATCTCTAGAATTCTGTGAATTTCAACATTAAAGTAGCTTTTCAGTTCTATCTACGTGTTGTAAATATGTAAATATATTTTTAGTTTAGGTAATGTTCCAAACTACAAGCACTCCCAGTTAGCTATCAGTGAGTTTGAATTATTGATAAAATGTTGAAAATGTTAAATGTTTGATTTTATATAACAAACTTATTAAATATATTTTTGTGGAAACTAAATGTGTTTGAGTCCATATTGTACACATTATGCTATAAATATTTGATTTTTCCATTCAGAAGGCCCACAGGCAAAAACAATATAATGAAAGGGGTATTGAAAACTGAGAGTAAGCTAGTGGAATTTTGTCAGTGGGAAAAACTATTTTGCAGGGCATGTGAGCAGACTTTTCTAAGATGGAAGCTTATGTGTCTTAGGAACTCTCTCTCAGTCTTCTGTCTTAATCATTCTTTCCTGTTACCCCGTAGTTTCTTTTACTGTTTAATTTAATTAAGGCTTTGCCATTTCTAGGAAAGTTAGAAATTACCCTGTTTTAGAGCTCCAGAGAAGAGGCATTACTTTTTTTTACCACCACACTTTTTTTCTCTCTAAAAGGTGTGCTCAATGGAATTCCACCAAAGATTTTAGTAGTTAGAAATACAATATAGAATCACTGGTTTAAAAGAACTGGAAGGTACCTAAAAGGGATTAGCGTAAGTTTCTTAAAATGGAAACCTAAGTGACATAGTGGTTAAGTTCAGCATGCTCCGCTTTGGCGGCCTGGGTTCACAGGTTCAGTTCCTGGGTGCAGACCTACACTGCTTATCAAGCTGTCTGGTGGTGGTGTCCCACATACAAATTAGAGGAAGACTGGCACAGATGTTAGCTCAGGACTAATCTTCCTCAAGCGAAAAGAGGTAGATTGGCAACGGGTGTTAGCTCAGGGCCAGTCTTCTCCAAAAAAAAAAAAAGCTAAATTTGTAACAGCGTCAACATTAAAGAAAATGCATTTGAATTTTAAGAAGAGATAAAGCTTCATCATTTTGTATCAACACTTCCCAAACATTTCCAAATTCAGTAAGCATTTGTTTTTAATCTTAGGAACCAAAGTAAACTTTACTAATAGTTCACATGTTAAAAGAATAAACTTATGAAGAATACATTTCTTTGTGTACCAAATGAAAAAATATACAATGCAGTGAAACTCAATTACATATACAAAGTGATTTTTGTGCATTTTTGATCAAGAGGTTTATATTCTATATTAAATCATAATATAAAAGAAGCAATATATAGTTTTTGATAAAGCAACTGAAAAGCTCTCTTAAATGTCTCTAAAAATAAGAGCTCATGGTATATGTAAGATAATATAGACTGAATCAAGCCTGCTGAGTTATGATGCTGTGCTCTACCAGATGACTGTGAAGTAATTAAAAAATTCTTCTGTAGAAATTAAATGAGCATATCCAAACTTGGAATAATATTACTACACGGTTTAATTATAACCCAGTAGTAGAATTTAGTAAATTCAAGCAGAACACATGTACTGTCATCATAAATAGACAAATACTTTAAATTATAACAGCATATCTGAAGACAAAATCAGGGAACTGTACATGTTAACCGAATGGTATAACCATGCATCTACACATCTGCTTAGGACACACTGGTGTGAAAGCGCCGGCCCACTGCAGGCTCCAGCAGGCTCGGTATTTTACTCGGTTCTGATGGAAGCACTTTGAATGTTTGCATGGAGACAAAAAACTGAATATTTAACTGGCAATTGGTCATGCACCTGTATTTTTAAAAATTTGGGTTAAATTTTCTTCTTTTCTGATTGTTCAGTAGATTCTGACTTTGGTGCAGGAAAAGCTTGATGATACAGGTGTCTGTGGGTTGCTGCTGCACTGTAAAGCTTGTATAAAGCCTAGAAGTACAAGAATCAAGATTAGAAAACATTTTATTAAATACACATGTAAAATTTTTCCTTTGTAGTATAAGTAGTTTATGGTACTATATAAAATTTAGCATGCTAAATTGGGAATCTTTATATTATTAACCTATGTAAGACCTAAATAACTAATGTGTTAGAGCTCTCCAGTGGGTGTATGTGATTACTTCTGTGGACTGATCTTCGTGGCAGATGCTTTCTTCTCAGATCGCGTTTCCTTCCACCTTTGCACACCTCCGGGAGCAGAGCTTCCTGACCTCATGCCCCAGGGCTGTGCTGAGAACTCACATTCTGACTGTTAGCAGTTTTAGAGGAAGTACAGGAGCTCATAACTTCTGACTGCCAATGGCTGCTTTTTTATACATGGCTAGACCACTGCTGTCGGGGCTGCCTTAGAGGTTTTTCAGAATGGGACTGCTTTTATTCTCCATTATTTCCTGATATGGTCATGCAGATAAGCACACACGCTGCCCCTCCCCCACCCCACTGGGATCCCTCACTTAAACATGTTCTCCTGCCTTGTTTCTGTTAATTAGTTCATATCTTACAAAACCTTATTCAGAAACATGAGCAGAAAGCCTTTCCTCATTAAAACTACCTCTGTGATTGTTCTTTGTGTCCATTTAACAGTGCTTGAATCATAGGAATTTTTACACTTTTATATGTGTCCATAAATATTTTTATTCTCGCCAACCCTCAGTTAGTGTCTCAGATTCATTCCCTCCTCTAACTTTCACATAATGAACACTCAGTTAAGATTAACGTATCTGATTTTGGAGTCTAAAAAATCTGAAAATTTTTAAAAGCTGGATAAAAACTGGATATCCTAGTAGTCAGTGCTCAGGAAATTCGTTAATTTTTATCTTTTTGAGTCTATGTGGCTATTAAGTCTGAATAGTACCATTTTCAGTTCTATGAATGTATATTGGTGCAACATGGTTTTCTAGTTCTATTATATTCTGATTCTAACATATTCAATTTAATCCCTCTTCTTGTAAAAGCTTACGTTTTTTTCTTAAGGTTTGAATTACAAAGTTGAAATTTGTTTTTACTTTTTTTGGTGAATTTGTTTTACTGAATTTTACATAAAATTTGTTATTGATTTGTAAATATTAAATGTATCACTGGTATTTGATTAGAGGACATAATCTAGTTACATGTAACAGCAGAAACTGAGGAAAAGACCATAATTATCTGCTGTCTTCGTAGTTGTTCAAGATCAGTTTTGCTTCCTAAAGATAACAACCTAAATGACTCCACAGAGATAATTTTTCTTATGTAACAAATGATTCCTTCCTGGAGGCTCAGATTCTTTCCTCAGATGGAGTTTTGCGCATGTGCTGGTAGGAGACATGAACACCATTTACAGGTCAGGTCTGAGGTATGCCAGGAAACTTACACTGTGTACTGGCCTGGAACCTGTGTAAAGTGCTGTCACTGAAAAGCTAAAGTTGAAAACAACTTCTAAAGGGTGTAGCTCTATTTAAATACTCTCCAGGAGTTAAGTTCCCTGAAGATTCATAACTGCCCATTCCACTCTCCAGTAGAGCAGAACCTGCATTGTCGGAGCTTAAGAATTTTGAAATTTTCTACACATTCAGAAAACAGATAAAATATTCACAATATTTATGATAGTCAATTCTTGTGTTTCACATGCAGATCAAATCACATACGATGTCTGGAATAAAAATTATATTAAAACCACGTTAAAAATTCACAATTAAAACTAATGCTAGAAGAACACAGGAGCATAGGAGCAGTAGTCACCAGATTTTCTAATCTATGATGAGACATCCTTCAACGTCTAGTTAGTTTATAAAATAAAAATAATGTTACCAATATATAGCTCAATTTAAAAATTTAACTTACCTCATTTGTACTTCCCTGTGGCAAAGGCAGTTTAAAAGGGAGAAAAGAAAAGTATATATCCAGCTTCATTAATAGCATTAAGATATTCAACTTTGTTTACAGTATTTATTTGTGAGCGTTTAAGAACAAATACTCCTGCAGGTTTTTTCAGTTTAGATTATATATTTCATGTAACTCTTTTTAAGAACCCAGTTCTATATTGCTCACAGGTTTCAGCATCACACTCTAGGAGGGCCTTGGGATTTACCTCAAATTGCCCCCTTCAGTCTTTCGAGGTTGAGGGGCTGAGACACTGGCTCAGAGGTTCCAGCTTTTAATTCATTCTTTTCCCATAGTGCTACCATTTATCTCACCTCAATTCTTCAAAGGCACAAGGTACATCCATTAGTTACAATTCTGTTTTAAAGAGTATCGTATACTTGTAACACTGGGAGAACTGTAGCTGTCACTTGCTACCTGCAGACCAGGAACGTTCAAAAGTCTTAACTCTAAAATTTAGGAAGAATCTACTTTAGCTTCACTGAATTCCCCTAAATTTTCATGAGGTAACTGAAGACACTTCCAGAATGACATAGTGAGTTGATTATTGTGCTAGGTGTGTTTATAACTGTCTGCCCTGACTCCCTAGGTTGTTGTTAATTGGACCATAAAAGATAACTGACCCATGAGCAGCTGATCCAGAGGTTGACCTGGACTCATGCAATGGCCTGGTGTAAATGTCTAGTTCAAATAGAGACAATCTGAAGTCATCAGCTATTGCCTTTAGGAGTTTATGCTAAAAGAGACAGTCACACGATGACTTATGACAGTTCCTAACAAAGCCAGTGCTGGTCAAATGATAGTTTCTAAGTATGAAGTAACGTTAACACATAATCAAGTCATAATCAGCTAAATAAAAACCGTGTTTTCTCACACTTCTTTTAACAGCTTTAACTTTTAAGATGAGAAAAAGTAAAAACACTGCCTAATCTGTGTATTTTTGAAAAGTATTGAAACGTTAACTTGAAAACAGTTGTGTAGGACTTCATATGTTGTATTATAGTTAGTTGTTTGTATCTGGCCATCTTAACAGATTCTAAATTCTTTTAATACTGGGGCCCACGTCACATTCATCTGTGTATTTCCAACTCTAACCTAGTGTCTGGCACAGAGGTGGCATTCACACGTGTGCTGCACTGAGTTGAAGAGCACTAAAAGTGTCCTACCTGGTCCCACAAGGCTGCAGCCACCTGGTCTATCACGGCTCCCAGCTCCCGGTACTCTCCAGAGTACCGGATGTATGCCCAGGTACACAGGGTGATGAGGGTCAGTCCCATGATCATGTTGCACAGGCTAGCTATGATGTCCAAACCGATGAATCCAGTCACGCCGGCAAGCACATACGTGATGAAGATGACAACAAACAGTGTGGCTGGGGTGCGCGCTGCATGGAAGATGTTTTTGCTGTCGTTGTGCTTGATGTACTGGATGTAGAGTTCATCTATCTCACTCTCCAACTGCTGCAGGTAACGCCGGCTGAACTCCTCCCCGCCCATCTTCTTCACCCCCCGGAAGAGCTTCACAGACTCTTCCTTCAGCTCCAGATGTTTGGTCTGCAGGTCATTAGGGGCCAGAAACGGTTTGTCACCACCACAAATCTGTATCAGACAGACAAGCACTGTTTAGCAATGCAGAGTAAAATTAGCAATGTATCAACATTTTTCACTTAGCTGGTTGAATTTGTTAGAACACAATAACCAGAAGGAGCCTGCAGAGATGTTTTTGTCAACCTACATCTTCCCACACTCCATATCTATCACACTCCAGTACAAATGGACTGGTCCTTTATATAAACTACTTCCATCCACATTCCTCTAGGAAGTTTATTCTAAATACACTGGAGTAATTTTGACTAATGAAGTTTAATTTAAAACAATGAGCAATGCTGTAAAGCTCTCAAGCAAAATTGTGAAAAACATCTTCTTTGGCAGTTTCACTGATTTTTGTTTGAATGGAGGCCATTCAGTATTTTCTTCAGGAGACTAAATGGAAACATATTAAATGTTCTTGGCCCACATTTTTAATTTTTTCGCAAGTTACAAGGGAAATCTCAGTTACCCATACCATTCACTTAAGTTGAGATCTAACTATATAAAGGATACTCTCATTCTAATTACCCTTTAGTTATGCCATAAACACCATTCCATATTCTATATTTCCCTTGATTCTAAGACTCCATCAATTTTTAATATAATTTTGATTTTATAACATTTTCAGGGGGAAAAAGACCCCTATCACATTTGTAGATGTACACAATAATTATTAGAGGCATCCTAATTCAGCATGTTAAAACAAAAAGGAAATATAATATGTAGCAATATTGGTTTAATTTAAATAGGTTTAATTTCTTCTTTTCTGAACAGGTTTTTATATTTAAGATAGAAATACTAGAATTGTGGAATGTAGGGATGTGTAGTGGAGAGGGTAGCATATGTTATTTTAGCTACTAAATTTTACAAATAGTGGAAGGATCTGGCCAAAAAAAGTGAATTAAAAAATGTGTCTACATTATAGAGATAACATTTAAAATATGTTTAAAACTGTACATACAGTGTTCTTTTCTTGCCTTATATTTAAAATATTTTAGGAATACAATAAATAGAATAAGTCAAAGCTACCTCTTTGCATGTGTACACAGTGTAACTTTGAAGAAAAAAGAATGAGCTCATGAAAGAAATGCTAGTTTTATTTAAACATCACTTAAAATATTATTTAAATCTTACCTCTTCCATTTTTTTGTTGTATGTATCCTTGGCAGTTGCCACGGCTGCTAAATTGTTAGCTTCTGCTGTGGCCTTTGGACAAAGCACAAAATATGATGTAAAATGGAATTCATATTTATTAAACTTCCACAGGCAGTTCCCACTTATGAGCACATCATGTGCAAGAATCCAAGTTATCAAATAATTTGAAAGAGTTGAAAATATTTCCACTACATTTTTTTAATTAGTAAAATTAAAATTTCAAAATGCATAACACATACAAGTTTACTCAATAAACCATAGTTCTAAAATGAATTTTCATTTGGAAGATTTTTTCCTCTTAAAAAATATTTGTAAGCTTCTCACCAAATGTGGGGAAAAGAAATCTATACATCCAAACACATGGGAAATAATATATAGTATATTTTATATACACTAATATATCTAAAAATAGGGCTTAAGTTTAAGGACTGTTGCTCATAGAACAATGTATCACTGACGACAAAGAAGAACCATTAAGAACTTAAAGAAATTTTAAAAATAAGTAAGGAAAAAGTGAGTTTCTCCTTTTTTAAGTGTTTACTTGTACAGACCACTTATTTAAAACCTGAACCTGCTTTCCTATTTCTTGTTACGTGTGTGAATCTAAACCACAGTATGAGCCTGTTCTGTAAACAAATTTAGCACAAAGAGAACGAAAACTCTTTAGTATGAAGTGAAATAAATGCTCATTGAGATGAATACACAAATGGGGAGTTATTAGAAAAAGTATTCCAATAAATCATTCCATCTGCTATTTTGTTTGGTCATTTCTGACAGCCAGGTTGGAGTGTACCTTGAGTTTAGCACAGCATAAAGCTAAGGAGAGCTGAGCTTCAGTGACAGTGTGTTTTAAAATGTCAGGCCTCCTGATGAGTAAATACCTGTAACATGGATTTTGGATGTGGTAATTCTTCACCTTGATAGATCTTTATATAAGCCTAAGAAAGAAAGAAAGAAAGACTCCTGTTCAAGTAATTCCATTCAGTATTTCTCTAATTCTGTTCAATTGTATTCTACGGCCTAAGGTCTTGACAGTTTCAGGAACTATTAGCTCTTTCTTATACTTGAATTCCATCTTTCTTGGTTTCCTTTATTTAATTCCCTTTTCCTGAAATGCCCTTTTCACACATCTCCACTTGCCAATCCTACTCTTCTTAAAGGCTTACCTCACTGCCACCTCCTTTAAAGCTTCCCCAGATCCCTCTGCTGGGAGTAATGCCTCTTTTTCAGTTACCCATGGGAATTTGTTCCTGCTGATGTCACAGGCTCTATGGAGCAGACTCGTGTAAGGGTCCTAAGCCTCCTACTGAATTCTAAGCTCCTCCACAGTGTTAGGCACAGTAAGAATTCAAATTTCAGATAAATAACCTGTCTTTATTTCTGAGAGTGATGGAGATTAAGGAATGACACAGGAGGTATGTGACTGCATTTTGAAAGACAAAACATGAATTTTAAAAATTGATATTTTAGTTCTTGGAGCATCAATCCACAAATTAGATGGGTAATTGAAATTCACCACTATATATATATGGGTTCATAAAAACAAGTGTTCTACTCAGTGGTGTCTGAGGTAAACAGGTAAATGCAAACTTAAAATAATCCCACTTCACATATGCTCTTGGTGCAGAGAGCAGGAAGTGTGGACAAATCTTCTCCAGTAGGAAGGCAAAGTGTAGCCCCTTTGGGAAAATCTTCAGAATGGTAACTGAGGACTACAGAGTAAGGAAACACTGCCTCCTCCCGCCCCAAGACAGACTTCTCCAACTCTTAGATACATTCATATTTCAAGACATATTTCCCTCAAGATAAAAAGAGACAGTACAGTTACCTAAAGGAGTTTTCTCAAAAAATAATTTCAGAAAGCAAGCTCCTCTTAGGAGTCTAATAATTTTTATCATTTTTATAGATTCCTCACACCTTTGTTCCCACATTACAGCCTACAATTTTGGGATATCAAGTAGGAACTGCCTTCCAAAGCATGTCAAATCTAAGTACTCACAAATGCTCTAGAAATGAGAGTGATACCTTGAAGTACTCCACCAGACCTCGGCAGGTGATTTTGTTCCCATTGATCTCTTTAATATCTAGGCTCTCAGGACTAAGTAGCCAAGGAATGAGTATTTTCAAGTTTTTGATGAATTCATCATCTATTTCTACAAGTAAAAGCAAATTCATCATTATTTTAAATATCCTAGCCAGTCCTCCATGCCGTACAATAAAACATCCTTTGATTTTCTCCATTTCTTCCCCAGTGATAAAGCCATCACTCACCTTCCCAGCATCTAAACAACTCCTGAGACCCACATTTCTCAGGGTGAATGGTACTCCTTGCCCAGACTTCTGCTGCTGGTCTGTCTTATCTCCATCCAATTATATCTTTGTCTTCTACCTTTGTTGATGTGAAACGTTATACAAATATTTCACACCCCATTCACATAACCATACCTTGTATTCTGCTGTCTGTAAGTTGTCTGTGGTTTTATACATATATAGACTGATAAATGGGGAAAAGGTGAGATATTTCTGGCTTATACAATGTATTCCCTCCAAAAGATGTATCCAAAAATTGCTCTATGTGTGCCCACCTTATGAAAAGTGTATAGAACTGGGTAAGGTGTGGTATCTAGGACTTAAGTTCAAAAAGACAGAGAGTGACAATGATGCCACCTCTAGTGGTGAAACAGCAACACAAAGTAACATGGCAAGAAAAGGCCATGTTGGCCTTGGAGCTGGCAGATGAGCAGTAGTCTGAGTTATTTACCTATCATGTTTGGTGCAATGGATTACACATGACCCACATAACCCTTGTAGCATTAGGTTCAAGCTTAACATTACAGATTTAGCAAAGTAACACACAAAACAGATCTTCAGAGAAGTCTTTTGAACACAGTGATAATTTCCTAAATCATTATTTCAGAACATATAGAAAAATGCACATAATACATGTGAAAAGCAAGACATGTCTGGGAACTCACTCTCTAAGTAAATACAGTAACTGCCTATAGTTTTCAAAACTCTGGATTTCAGCAGTCACTGAGTTTTCAGGCTTTGTGACCGGTGATTTCCAAGGTCTGAGGGATAAATATGCAAACCTTTTGACTGTGTTCGCATTGCCCCTGCTTGTTATTAGAACCCCAATATACACTGTAATACCAGTTTACGTGAGAATTCACGTTTCTTTCCTCTTGCATGCTGCTTTTATGACATGTATGAGTATGATGTTGGAAATCCTTCAGACTTATTTTGCTTCATATTCTGTACAGTTTTGAAAGTTTGGTGTCCATGTTTTATGAGTACTTATATAGGAGATTATTCAAATTTATTTTTCTGTTTGCATTGTACCAATTTTTACTGATAGCTGTGCTTTGTATTATGTGTGGATTTATTCAAATGTGTTTATTATTATGGTTTGCTTTTTAGTTACCGAGACCCGCTGAGACACAATGCTGGTGTTTGCATTATGTCACCACCCTTCTAGGTCGTGTTGCTGTCTGCCGTCTATCTGTGTTCACAGATGCTAAGAGGTTTCTTTTTAGCTATATGATTTTATGCTTTTTTCAGCATTAGTAGGATATTACTATATATCTAGAATACATTAATTTTTCCCGAATTTCTGTATAAAACAAAAAGCTTTCCCCTTATAGAACCATTTTAAAATCACTTGCAAAACATGTACTTAACCTCCCACCACCAAATTTCTTTATAAAACTGGAGTGGAATAAGATAGACCTGTGTATCTAATGCACCCGCAAGTATGGGAATTATCATTAAAGTAACCAGCATCTAAGCACACATTTGGATTAAAGATGTGTTCTGAAGTTAGCTATAGTCTAACTTTGTTCTCACTTGAGACCAATGCCAGGTTTTTCAATTCTGGATTCAGAAAATATGAACACTATATTCATAACATCACAAGTGGTGAGCTCTTGCTAACAATATTAGTTGAACACAGTAAATACAGGACCCAGAGCACTTGCAGACGAGTTCTGATCATCGTGCAGAGGTGCAGGAGTCAGCTCTGGCCTACTGCAGGCTTCCGTAAATACGTGTGGGTGGATGATCATTCCGGGTGACGTTCTGTTTTCATCATTTCTTAAACAATTTTTGCCACAAGAGGAAAACTTTGCTAGGAATTCAGGAGCTTGGCAAAAGTGGTTTTCTGTCACAATAACTGAGGACATGGTCGTGCTTTACAAGAACTCTGCAGGGCAGATGTACCGATGAGGCGCTGCTGTGAAAATTAACCAAAGAAGATATTTTCCCAGGATCACCTGCTCTGACAAGTCGTTAGAAACACCCTTTTAAAAATAATCACCTTGCACTGGTGTGTAGCTATGCTTTCTGAAGTCTAACTGGAGCTTCTTTCTATACCTCAGGTACGACGTGGTCACCAGGTCTCCTCCTGCAGTTCTCTAACACGGAATCACCTCATACAAAGGGAACTCCTTGTCACTAACAGACTGAATTTGCTATGCTGGGGTGGGGGGATTCAGTAGGCACTTGGTAAGAACTGGTTAAATGTAGCTTGAATGAATGGGATTCAGCACTTTCAATCCTTTGATTTCCCATGTGGGAAGCTATTAAACTAATGGCAAATTTAATCATAGTATTAAAGTTTTAAATAACACTGGAAACAGATAAGATCTTTCAATAATGTGAGGGACCATGAAGAAATAGTGATTATCACAATTATTACTATTGATAACGAGCTAGAAAGTTATTTCTACAAGTGTGTTAAAGAGTATGTGAGAAACAATCATCCAAGAGCAATGTTTGCACAACTGTTTCTTCAGAGACGTTCTTCCCAGAGGCAACCACTCAGATGCCAGCCCCGGAGAGTAGCATGGCCAGCAGACAAGACATCCTGGGTAGAAATCACACCAAATTATAAGGTTCAAGATGGAAGGGAAAAATAATGCAGACAGCAGACTTTCAAAGCTGCGCAAGGAAACACAGAGGCAAAGGAGACTGCATCGGTGTGCAGAGGGATTCAGCAGCAGCCCTCTGAACCCCCCTTAAAATGGGGCTTTCGACTCAACGGAAGCTGCTGTCCTTTCTTTCTCCCAGTTAACTCCTCTGTAAATCCTAACTTATGGGTAACTGTGAACCAACTGTGTGAGTCAGTATCTGTTTAGACATGTAAGTAAAAGTTGATGGAAGACAAATCTGTTAAAAAAGTCGGTATCTAGGGGCTGGCCTGGTGGCGCAGCGGTTAAGTTCGCACGTTCCACTTCGGGGGCCCGGGGTTTGCCGGTTCAGATCCCGGGTGCAGACATGGCACTGCCTGGCAAGCCATGCTGTGGCAGGTGTCCCACATATAAAGTAGAGGAAGATGGGCACAGATGTTAGCTCAGGGCCAGTCTTCCTCAGCAAAAAGAGGAGGATTGGCAGCAGATGTTAGCTCAGGGCTAATCTTCCTCAAAAAAAAAAAAAAAGTCAGCTTCTACATCTGCGCAATTTGTCTTAAACTCTCTCCTTGAGCTCTTTCATTGCAAAATGTATGAGTTAATTTAAGAACTGTAGGGGCTGGCCTGGTGGCATAGTGGTTAAGTTCGTGCACTCTGCTTCCAGCAGCCCAGTGTTCACAGCTTTGAATCCTGGGCGTGGACCTACACACTGCTCATCAAGCCATGCTGTGGTGGCATCCCGCATACAAAATACAGGAAGACTGGCACAGATGTTAGCTTAGCACCAACCTTCCTCAAGCAAAAAGAGGAAGATCAGCAACAGATGTTAACTCAGGGCCAAGCTTCCTCAGCAAAAAAAAACTGTAGTTATATGCTACAGGAATGGAACGAGGCAGAGTACTTTCTTGCCCCAGTAAAGGACGGCTACGAAGGCCTGCCCCTCCTCTGCCTGTTTACAGCTCTCTAACTCCAGGGAAGAAAGAAAGGCCTGTGGGAGCCCTCTCTTTATGTGATTTATTCAAACACATTGAAGCATTGGGTGATTGCACTGTATCAAAAGGCTTGTGTGCTCACTTAGCGGCTTGGAATTCCTAAGTGACGATGAAATTGTAGGATCCTGGAACCCATGCATTAATATGTGCCTACTGCTATCCTGTTATTTAAAGGTAAGATAATTTAAAACATGCATAAAAACAATGCTGATGATTGAGGAATTTGGGACTCTATTTATGATACTAAACTGCCATAGTTAAATATAAGGTATCTGGGAGTAAACACAATGGAGATAGAGGGAAAAACAGGTTTGCTTTACAAACCTACTAGTTCCATAAAACTGGATACAAGTTATACTGTCTTTTTTTTAAAGTCATTTTAAAGCCCTTTGAGAACAGCTGTGCAGAAAAGCTTATTATGTCGCTGTCTCAGCAGCCCTGGTACAATGCAGAGAGGTCACAGGAAACGGAGCAAGTGTCTGAAGGCAGTGTGCACTCAATACCAGGCCCACAGTGACAGTCAGAAACGCCTGTGTTACGTCGTTAACTACGAGCCAACATCTAAAAACCTGCTGACTGTCTATCAAGGAAGATGAACTTCGGTTCCCAGACCCCTACCTCTACCCCCCGCCCCTTTTTTCAATAAGTTGAGGGTCTTTGGAACCTTAAACGTCAGCCCTGCCTCTGTTTAAGAGAGAATCACATACTATGAGTATATACTGTTTGAAAAACACAATAGTGCTTTTTGTTTTCTTAGAAACTGGTCCTCATCCAGAAGACAATTTCCTTTTAGTGAAGCTTTTAATAATTTATAATTAAATTCTTTAGTAGCAGTTCTAAAGAGCTTGAATTCAGTACTATGCAATATTTCTTTCAATCTCTAATTATATAACTTAACACAACATTCCAATAACAGAGACATCTATTTTTTCCCTTTAAGGTAAATAAGGAAAACTACACAGGAAGATATTGAGGAGCATCTCTCAGTGCACAGAGTGAGCAGGGGCCTCTGTGAGGGTGAGGCACGGCCACGGGTGGCCGCAGGACTTGGCCTCTTGTCTTGTCAGTTCAGTGGCACCCACAGAACCCCACAGTTCTCCAAGGAGCCGCTGCAGCACCAGCCCAGGATTCCCAACCTCCTGACAATTTCCAATCATCAGCCCCACATCAGGGGAGAAACTAAAGCAGCAGCCATAAGCCCAGTGGATAAAATGACATTTTTATAATCAGACTAAGTGATGTAAACATATTCATTAAAAGACAGACAAACCTTTCAGTTTTCCATCGAAGTTTGGATTGGTAGCCACTTTTAAGCCAGGATGAGGTAGCAGAAAACAGGAAATTTTGGTGAAACAGGAATGGATGTGCTTTCGAACATTCTGTAGTTCTTCATGCTGGTTCCCTGAGACCTGCAGGAAATCATTCTGAAGTTTAAACTACTTTCAACTTTAATCGAACTCCAAAAGAACTCTGCAGCATCTTATACTTGCTATCTCGGTCTGGTCCCACAATGATGAAAACGACACGACAGGGCTGACACTGAAGGAAGGATAAAGGTCTTGAGTGAAGGCGCCACCCAGCCGTATCTCAGCACCCAGCACACATGTGGCGTTGCCATTGCAATTACCAAAGGCCCACTCTCACACGAACTCACATAGGCCTTCCCATTTTGTAGTACAAACTAGTGGGGTTTTATCTAGCTAGTTCCTACAAATTCAAATTTTAATTCAAAGTACTCACAGGGACATGAGCAGGTCATAAGATATTCCTACTTTCTTTTCAGGAATGACTCAAGACAAGACTCAAGACAGCCCCTTGTCACCTGGTAGGTGTACATTTAAATTCTAGAAAGGCATCTGAACAGCCTGCTGCTTATTTATGAGCTAAACTCCCCTTTTTTCCCACATGCATTTGACAGTTAATAGTACAGACAAACTACCCTAAAAGTGACTAGAAGCCTGAAAAGGTCCACTCAGAGATCCTGATTATCAAAGAACTTTTTTTAATCTTGATTTTTTTTCTGATTTCTCAGTAGGTATTTTTGTGATATGTGTTCATGGTAAACAATTTATTCAATATTGAACTATCATGACAAAGAAAATGGAAAGTCTCCTACTTTCGCTTTCTGTGAACTACTAGCAAATGTTCTAAGACTGACTTTGGGGATTTCAAAATTAGACATTTCTGTTAAATTGACTTTAAACTACTCTACTAAAACATGAATCCAGATATATGCACTGTCAGTCTGGAACTGATTTAATTCTTCAAATTAAAAGTTTTATCTTTAGGGATAAATCATTCTTTTATAGATATCTACAAAAGAACTCTTTATCTGTATCATAATTACTGATAATATTTAAAATTGTAACTCTGAAAGCATTTTAGTAAATATCAATCTTAGTTTGTTCATAGAGATACTGTGAGGGTCAAAAGGGATTGTGGCTACTGAGTATCTAGTTAGCAAATCATTCAACAAAAATAATTCCAGATTACTAATATTGGTGAAATTTCATGCACCTAAATATGTAACAAACCTTGAGGCGTTTTTCCAAGAATTTGGAGCCACCGTCAGATCCATATGAAAATTCGTATGGGAAACTCCAGTCTCGAACAAGAAATATCAGACTCTAAGAAATGATAAGAAGAAAGGATTGATAAGGGCACTCTAAATTGCCTCCCTCTGCTTTTTATTGAAACCAACTAAATGATGTCGTTGTCATTTGAACAGTGTTCTTTACCACATCGCGGAATTAAAAAGCAAGCATAAAGCCTCTGAACGTTTCTGAGCAGCCCCTCCAGTGTGAGGTCATCCTGCCTGTTTCCACTGAGTTTGAAACCAATTCTAGTTAGTTACATAGTGCCATTCGGTCCGTGTGAGGACATCTGTGGGTCTCATCTCTTGGTGAGGTGCAGTGTTCACATAGCTTTTTATGAAGATTCATGCTTTATTTGAGGAAAGTTTTCTTCTGTCATCTCTTCAAATATTTTTCCTCTCTTACATTTGCCCCAGTCTCTTCTCCAGGGGCTCTCATTATGCACCCAAGGGATGCAGAGCGGGGGGGGGGGGGGGGGGAACCCAGGTTTTGTGGGGCCTAAAGCTAAGACAGTCAGTAAGGGGGAGGGCTCAATGAGAAAAAGAATACAAACTGGGCTTGAAAGTGAATACTTATTTAGAATTAGAAAAATAACAAATTACAAATTCAAAAAAGCTGACAAATATCACAAACACACACACACAAGCCCAGAAAAATAACTAACAAACTTTTGTAATACTTTTTTTCTACAGTTTTTGACTGTAAATGTTTTGATCACTTCTTCCTATGACGATTTTGAAATATTTTCTGTTAGAAAATGAATTCAGCCTTTCCTCTAACAAGGCCAAATTTTTTTATTATAAATTTTTTTATTATTACTAGTTTAGAAATGTTTCAGCTTCACCCCTTCTTATGCTTAAAGTCGTGTCCATTTGAAGTCTCGTCATCTGTCAGAAAGGGACGATAATGGAGCCGCCTCACAGGACCACTAGATGAGATGACAAACGTAACGCCTCCAGAACAGCTCCCGGCACAGTTGGTGCCACATTAGCTATCTGACGGTGACTTGATGGCCACACAACATATTAGCACCTGGACAGACTGTGCTTTATTCTGCCACTCTCCTGGATGTTTTCATGTTTTTCTACTATTCTAAGAAACACACTGATAACCGTCCGTGAAGCTGAATATTTGTTCACATCCAGGATTTTATCAGAGACTGTGTTTCCCAGGTTAGAACAATCATTAGAATCACTTGGGAGGCTTTGAAAAGTACAGAATTCTTGGAGCCCACCTCAGACCTACTGAAACCAAAGTAACGGTAGCTTTCATTCATTTATTAAGTGCTTATTGTAAGCCAACCACAATACCAGGAATTGTACACAGGATATTCCATGTATTCCTGCAACAGCCCAAAGAGACAGGTTACAATTAATTGTTCTTTTCAGAAGAGATATATAAAACTCACCTCCACACCCCACCCCCCTACCTTGATACTAAGTAACCTGTCCAAAGGCACATGGCCAGAGATGGCAGAGCTAGCATGTAAAAACTTGGGTCTTACTTCAACATCCCTGCTGCACTGCCTCAAACTGAAGTATAAAACATGAAGTTTATGATCTGAGAGCTGAGTAAAGCATGTTTTTATAAGTTAGAGATACTTCAAATTTTAGTTTCTGAAAAAATGTAAGAAATTGAGAAAAAATCAGAATGATTTTTACGAAATTAGCTATCTTTAAATGATCTTTCTAACAATTTATATCTTCTGAGTTTCTAAATGAATCTTTTAGTCCTGGCCCATTAAAATCTGTTGCTATGTCTCTTCATTCTCTTTTAATCGACAGTTTGCTTTTCCATCCTTTTTAGCTGATCTGTTGAAGAACCTAGGAATCTGATCTGGTTTCCCCTGGCCTGGACCCTGTTGACTCATGGGGCAGTTCACACGTTCTTTTGTCCACTGGATTTCCTGCAGATTGGCAGCTGGATACAGAGACTTAATATGACTCAGGGTTTATTTCTCTGGCAAGACTACAGGAAGCAGAGTCTTCTTTCATCCGGAGGCACACAGGATATGATTCTCCCTCCTTCGGTGAAGTTAGGTCCTCTTTGGTGGCCTGAAACTCATTCTTCAGTAGATTTCTCATCAATGGTGCATGGGACAATGTTCTTTGCGTTCTTACATGTCGATAACAGTTTGTGCTCTTTATTCTCAAAAGCCAATCTTGTTGGATTTAAATCCTGGGCTCACATCCTCCTTCCTTAAACAGGGACACATCTTAGTCTGCATTATGGATATTTCTTGTTTCACTAAGGTGAAGCCTCTCCTCTTTTCTTTGGTTTTTTGGATTCTTGTGGGGAGAGGAGAGAGTCTTGTGAAAATGACAATTTAAAAATACCCATATCCACTATCTTTAAATAGTTCACTATCTTTAAACAGATGCTCATTTTTGTCAAAATAAATACAATTTGTATTCAGAACATTTCTACCTAAAACACGTCTTTTGAAAACAGAGGTTAGCTAGGATGCAACTTTTGCAAAACAGAGGTTCATGAACCAGGATAAATGAAACCAAGTATGTGGATTTGGCTATCTTTGGCATTTTTCTTGGGAGGTTTTAGTCTCATTTCTTGGTCTTTTTCACTGGGCATCTTCCCAAGTCGACATAATGAGAACCATGTGTAGAACAGGATCAAATACAAAGTCTTATTTTTTCAAATTAGCAATCTACACTCTATCTCTCTATAGTGTCAAGTTCCCAGCTTCTCTGCCTAATGCTTCTCTCCCATCCAGCGATGTGCTGTTAAACTGGCTCTCCCACAACAAAGTGCCTTGATTTGTAGCATTTGACCATTTCTGTTGTGTAAATATGCCCACCATGGCCGATTTCAAGCTAATATAATTCCTGAATATTTACTAATTAGCTCTCAGGAGCTGGCATGAGCCAGCCACAGCACACCCGCTGGCCCCAGCCCCTCCCAAGATAATTGGCATGCTTTCCATTTATCATGCATGGAATTCTATGAATCTCAGTCCTTATTTCAAAAGCCTTAAGTTTTTCCACCCTGCTGAATGATCTGTTCACACATACAGGTAGAGACAGAAATCAAGAATATAAACTATCCTAATTTGTTCAGATAAAAATATTTGAAGTCATAAATACCTTTTTTAATGAATTAAATCCAGTCAAGCACTGGGGCAAATGATGGACTATGCTGTGCATATCCTACAACTGATCATAAAATTTTTTAATCATGAAAAACATTATAACCTTTGTGAACTTCCCTTTGGAGACTAGATCCTTTAGGAAATTATTCAAAAGGAGTGTTATAGCATTACTAGGAGCAATAATGAAAAATCGAAAAAAAAAAATCCAAATGCTCAACAACTGGAAACGGCAATACAAATTATGGCATATTCATATGGTAAAATATTACATAGTTATTAATATTACAAATATGTGGAATGCATCAATACATGCCAGCATAAAAAGCTTGTACGAAATAATGTTAGCTGAAATATAATGCTAAATTTATGTGCACATCCATCATGAATATGTAAAAATACTCCTAAGCTCCCAGGAAAAGACTAACTGTTCTAGAGCCATGGAGTCAGTAAATACCCAAACTCGTTCTTAATCTGTTTAATCAGTCAATTTCCATTCTAATTTCAGTTGCAGGTAGCAAGTAAACCCTAGAACTTGTTTTAAACCCAGCTGATTAAGTAACAACTCACTTCAATCAACAGCCCACTGGAAGCCAACCAATCGGGGACAGCCTCAGACATTAACAGAAAATCTGCTGTATAAAAAGCAGGTGCTCTAGACTAAAAAAGGTAAATTACAGAGCTCCTGCTTTTAGGGTATTTATAATTTAGTCTGTGAGATGGGATGTGCATATTCAAATGAAAGACCAGAAGATATAGCTCAATGCGTGCCTAGGAATAGGAGGAGGAGGAGAGGCCCTATAGGATAGTAGTGAGGCACGAGGGCCTTGAGCCTGAGGCCTAGGCTGAAGGCCAGCTCTGCAACTCGCAGACATATGTGACCAGGGACAAGTTTCTTAACTACTCTATGCCTCAGTATTTCCTCATCAGTTAAAAAAGAGAAACAAAATAAAGGAGTAACAACATTACTTGTTTATATAAAGATAATGAACATTTACTTGAATAATGTAAGAAACATACTTAGCACAGCGTCTGGCACAAAACAACTGCTCAATGAATTGTTCTGGGTATGTAGGTCCTCTGGACAATTCTGTACCTCCATGAGGACGGTGGGAGAGTCCTGGTCTCCTCACTGACCTCATTCTATGCAGCCAGAGGAATACTCATTCTAATTCAGGCAGCTCTCAGACCACACTGCTCTCTGGACAGAACACGGGGTAAGGGGGCTTTCCCAGACAGCTGTCCTTTTCCTTTGATTTACAGACCAAGCAGACAAACAATAGCTTCCCATTCTCTCAGTGAAGTCATGGATTTCTCTGCTATGACTTGGCAGTTACAGTCGTCACAGATATTTGACCAAGGATGTTGTGTTTCAAAGTAGCTGAAATCACTATCAAAGAATGTATTCTGTAGATGAACATTCGTAAATCATGGAAATAAAAGGTCCTTAAACATAATTAAGAAACTAGAGTAAAATAATTCCTAGTTTTTCATATGTAGGCCCAATTTGAACGAGAAATTGTGAAGAAACAGAAGGTTTATAATATTACATTATTATACGCTTCCTCTACTGTTATTTTCCAGCAATCTTCAGATTAACCTCAAAACTGGTATGGATTGATCTGCTTATTGATAATTACATCTCTACCAAAAGGAACATGAAGAATTGAGTTTCACCTTTATCTCACAAAGAGGATTCAAATCTTCTTTCCCCAGCTTTACTGAGATACAATTGACATATAACATTGGGTAAGTTTAAGGTCTACAATGTGATGATGTAATACATACACAGATTGTGATACATACACAGAAGTAACACATCCATTACCTCACACAGTTACTGCGTGTTTGTGTGTTTGCTTGAGCGCACGTATGTGTGTGTTGAGTCAAAACTATTTCTTTTATTTATTTATTTTTTTGAGGAAGATTA